GACCTTCCACAGCAAGTTGTACTTTATGGTTATACCCACATCCTGGATGTACATTTACTTGCCCACAAGGACCAGGCTCTTGAAGCCTGGGAGGTTACTTGAACCCACTGGGAACAGCAGCATGGTATGATGGTCAAGGTTCTGCAGTCAGACAATGGGGGAGAGTTTCTCAGTAATACATTCATCCAGTCCTTGAACTCACAGGGTATTGCTCATTGTTTGTCCATCCCATACATGCACCAGCAAAATGGGGTTGCTGAATGGGTTATCTGCACATTAGAGGGACGCATCTTGGCCATGTTACATCTTGCTCGGCTCCCACTTGCTTACTGGGGTGAGGTGATGCTCACAGCTTCCTATCTACATAATTGCACAGGGTCATGTGTCTTACCAAATGGGATCATGCCCTACGAAATGTTGCATCACATACAACCTCATCTCAGTCACTTGCAGGTTTGGGCTGTCAAGCTTATGTGCACATCCCTTTAGAACTCCAGCAGAAGTTAGGACCCAAGTCCAAACTGGTACACTTTATGAGTTATCCACCAGGGGTCAAGGCATATAGGGTGCAGGATGTTAGCACTGGGCAGTTCTTTAATTCTAGGGATGTCATTTTTGATGAAGACATTCATGCATTACCCTTCAACAACCCATCAACCAGTGGACCATCATCCACAACTGACAAAGACTCAAGTTTGGATGAGGACTCTGATGACTCATGACCCCTATCCCCATCGCCCTCATCATCTCAGTCACCCTTGGTGCTCTTGACTGTGGTTCAACCTTCTGTTGCTGCTCCCCCTACTACTTTGTGTTGTTCTGGCAGGACCAGGGTACAAACTGAGGTGGGTAAGGCATTCACTGAGTCTCTTCAGGCAATACAGGAATGCCTGGCTGCACATCATGCCCACTCTGCTTCTCCCATCACAACTGCCCCCTTCATCACAACTGCTTCTGGTCATAACACCCACTTAAATGGCCCTCTTTCCCTGTTAACCAAGCTGTCAGAGTCTGATCTCTCATCCTCTGACACCTCTGTGGGTCTTCTCTCTGCTGCAGTCATTGATTTGGTCATCTCTGAACATGCTTGCCTGGCCCTACAAAGCAATACTTGCTGTGACCCAGCCAATCCCACCTACAATCTCTTCGATTCCCCCTGCTACTTATGATGAGGCAGTCCATCACAGTGATGCATCCAGGTGGAGGGCAGCCATGGATAAGGAAATAGATCAGTTAAAGTCGATGAATGTTTATAGCCTTGTTCCTCTTCCTCCTGGGGCTCATGTGATAGGAAGTCATTGGGTGTTGGAGTATAAAGAAGGAGACAGTAAGGGGGGGCTGGTTGAGAAGGCACATTTTGTTGCAAAAGGGTTCAGTCAGGTACTGGGCAGGGACTTTGGGCAGATGTTTGCACTGGTTGCAAGGCAGAGTTCCATTCGACTCCTCACTGCCATTGCTGCCAGAGAGGACTGGGAGCTGCACTCGCTGGATATCAAGAGAGTGTTCCTTCATGGAAAGGTCAAGGAGAAGGTGTATGTCAAACAACCACCTGGGTATGAGGAATATGGCCCAGATGGTGAGGAGTTGGTTGGGTTACTTCATTCTGCTCTCTATGGGATTAAACAGGCTGCCTACCACTTCTATGAAACACTTCACTCTGAACTCGAGAGTCAGGGATTCTGGCGCAGCAAGGTGGATCATGCAGTGTTCATCTTTCATCAGTTAGAGGTTGTCTGCATGGCTGCCTGGCACATTGATGATGGCCTCAGTGGTAGCAACAACAAGCATTTCCTTGCTGAGGTCAAGCATCATCTACACCTCCATTTTGGCATCTCAGACATGGGACCCATCATGAAATACCTCAGCATCCAGTTTGAATGCAATTGTCACAATCATGAACTGTGGCTTCACCAGAGTGAGTACATCATCCACCTCCTCCAAGAGTACGATCTTGTTGACTGCCACCCAGTACACCTTCCCATGGACCCCACCCATCCTTTCCTCACTGATGCCAAGGCAGTAAAACTGGTTGAACCTGCCAGCCTAAGGTCTCTTTACCCAAAACTCATAGGTGAACTGTTATACCTCTCTGTTTGCACCTGCCCTGATATTTCCCTTTCCGTTCAGTGTCTTTCATGGTATCTCTCCCATCCCAGTGCATGCCTACCTGGAGCCATGAAACATGTCCCCCACTACCCTGCAGGCATGGTTAACCACCACCTTCACTATGGGGAATGCATGTGCAGTCCCCTCCTGCATGGGTTCAGTGATGCTGACTGGGTGACAAACCCTGAGGATTGTATTTTGGTGACAGGATATTGTTGGTTCTATTATGGGGGCATCATTGCCCACTCTTCTAAAAAACAGACTACACAGGCCCTATCCTCCACTGAAGCTGAGTATATGGTGGTCACTGTGGCCATCCAGGAAGGTCTGTGGATTTGGTCCTTCCTCCTGTCTGTGGGTTTCCCAGTGCCACCCCCCACCCATCTTTATGCTGACAATGCAGGGGTGATTGCACTCTCATGAGAGGCTGCAAACAACCATTGCACCAAACATATCGACATACGGTATCATTTTTGTTGTTCTCACATCAAGGCTGGGACATTCCTGCTTGAGTGGGTCATGTCCTCCCATAACACCACTGATGTCCTCACCAAGGCCCTTCCTCGTCTGACCTTCTCCTGTCATGTTGCTGGTCTCTCACTCACATCCCATTGAGGGGGCATCGGAGGTCATTTTCAATGGTCACTTTGCTCACTTCTCATTTCTTTTTTTTCCTTCTCTGCACATGGAATGTTTCTTGTTTCTGTTCTCACACATTGAGCAGGGCAGCTGCAGCTGCAGGGGCTTGGTCACATCCAGGGAAACTGTCATCTGCTCCAAGCCAAGTATCTGCATGGTGGAAATTAGGGCTGTCAATATCCTGACCTATGGACATATTGTAGTCCCAGTTTGTGATCTCTTTCTGGAGGGCAGAAGGTGGGTCAGGTGTTCTTGGGCAGTCCTGTAGGAGAATGTGAAGTGTTAATAAGTGATTTACTAGCCTCTTGTTTTAGGCCTACCAGATGACCTTTTATGGTTATTCCTACATTTTCTGCATGTGATGGCATGTACTTGGGTTGTTGATTGCAGAGGCATGCTTGCGACTTGAGTGTCTCAGCTAGAAGGTCAGCTCACTGGTGGTTGCAGATGAGGTGCTCAGGGAGGAGATGTCCATTGCAAGCTTGGGAGTTGCAATAGCACCTAGATAATCATGCCATCTTGACGAGCACAATATGTGTAGGTGTGGTTGAGGCATGTTAGAGGTGTGGTAGGTGTCCTTGAGGCCCACATTAAGATCAAGGTCACATGTTCACAAACTGCACAAGAAGACATCATGTTACAGGGAATAATACATTACAGAATGAATTTCAGGGCTGACTATAGCTCAGATGAGCAGGCTGCCTTGCCTGCGAGGCCCAATGAACTCTCCACATCTTAACTTGGAAAGCTAGGTAGCAATAATCAATTAGTTTTCAAGCATATTTTCAAGAGTGATGCTGGTAGCATACAGAATTCATGAGAACCATCATTTGCAGCTCTTCCTCTGACTCTGTTTCATCAAGATCAGATGATGGCACTTGTTCCAAAGTTGGGCAAGGTGGAGTTGGCTGGACAACATCTTCATTGAATATTTCAAGGGTCTGCAGTAAAAAACATGTTAGGATACTTGTCACAAGCAATATTATAGCTATTACTTACAATAGGACCTGGTTCCCTTTGTTTGAATGACATGTGCACAGCCTTTACATTGCATGAAATAGTGACTTTAACCACAGTACTGGGCACAGACATCTGGGTCATCATTGGTGGTTATGGACTTCAAGAGAAAAAAAGAAAAAAGCAGCAATGTACCTAGGTTAAAAGGCTGAACTCTGCTTTGGGCATAAAACAGAAAGCAGACATTAAGCCTTTGTGGAGAAGCCAAGCATGGAGGAGGTTGGAATATACACCATAGGCAAAGTCAGCCTATCATCAGATTATGGGAGACATTACAAAGCAGGGTCTGCTTATTGTCTGCCTATGTTTGGTCAATGCTTGAGAAACCCTAAGGTCTGAATTACATCTGAATATGACATCTGGTAGCTACAGGTCAGAATTTCCCAGCCAATCAGATTTGCCTTTCATCTGCACAGTTTTTTTGTTTCCACAGTGAATTGGTGTGTGCATGCGATGATCTTGACATAGGTATGACTGAACAGATTATTGTCACCATCAATCTGGCTGTCTCTGGGCCCAAATGTCCCTTGGGCACCATTATATGTGTTGAATGGGGAACTCATGTAGATGAGCCCACAGACACCAGCTGCAATAGCTGCACTGATGACAGCTTGTGTGCCTTCAATGGTGAGCCTGTAGTAGATGGAGGGGTCTTTTGTGCCTTGCTGTAGTACAGTATTCTGTATGATATATGTAATGCCCAGTTTCATCAATACATCCAACATGTCCCATTTGTCAGTGACCCTTGCCCTACAAGACAAGTGTGACTTTGTGACATGGTGAGGCATGAGTGAGACACAGAGTTTAGTCTTTGGACCAGCATTAGGTAAGCAGCACATCCTTTCTTCCTCCCATGCCACCACCTCACTCACCACTCCTTGTCATTGCAGCATTGCCAACCACACTCATTTTGCCCAACTTGCAGACACTCCTTTTTCTCAATACCTGTTCCCCTCTCCCACACAGTCTCCATCAGAATGGCTTATCCCAACCTTGAGGAGTGACTTAACTTCAAATCAGTGGCTTTTCATGAAATCTGGGAAGCCATGATGGCCTCCCTTGACCTTGACCTAGAGCAAGCTGTGGCCTGCCTCCACATGGCCTGGGATGATGACCACCAGTGCAGGGTCAAAGAATGGAACACCAGATGCCAAGCTGAAGATGAAGTAGTGCAGCAAAGGGAGGAGCAACACAGACAAGCAGAGGGCCAGGAGGACAAATGCTGAGACCCTGAATGAAAGAAACCCCAAATGGCCAACTTCACCATTGGGCATCTCCCACCCAGCATCCTGGTCAATCAACCATCCCAATATGCTACCAACAAATTTGCCTCCTGTGACTACATTGAACTCTGGTACTTCTCCCCTGAGGGGTGCAGTGATGCAGCAAAAAACTCAAGATCCAATGCTGATGATACTTTCAGATTATCCAGCACTAATGACTTACTCACCCTCCATCCAGTTGCTTCAGTCAAGGCATAGCTGAATGCATGGGTAGACCACAATTTAACTTTTGGACAATCCACCACCAATGGTGACACCATCATCCTGAACTATGCACCCTGCATCCAACATCAATGGCATGATGAACTGAAAGCCAACAACAGACATGTATTTGACATATCCATCATCAATGACATGCTGATGAACAGCATTGCATTCAAGGTCAATGATGCAGCCCAGAAACAGCTGGCTCAAAGGTCAGTCCACATCCTCCTTCACCTAAGGCACACAACACTGATCACTCACTTGCCCTCCTCATTACCCTGCCCATTTTTATACACCCACCATCAGGAAGTGAAAAAATGGTTTAAACCTGTTTAAACCCATCACTGACTGGTCATGACTGTGATTCTGTCCCTGTTTCTCTGATGACTGACACCCCACCCCCACCCCCTGGTCTGCCACAACAATACACCACCCCCTTCCCTTTCCCAATGGCATGGCCATTTCCCCATTGACACCCACCTGACACACACCCATTTTATTACCCCACCCCCCCCTCTTCATCTTTGCACCCCTCTTTGCAGGGTTGAGGCTTTCTTTGAGATGAACCTGATGTCCCCCCCACAATCTAGACATTCATGAAGACACTATCAGCAGTGCACAGAACCTCAAACAGCATGAAACTGCAACTTGCACTCCCAATCCCCTAGGCCCTGGTGTAACACACCAAAGGTGTTTGGTGAGGTGGACATGGATACTGCTGATGAATGGAGATGAAGACTATAGCCCTCATGTGTGGAATGACTCCCAGGAATGTTGGCAGTCATCCTTCACACAAGAACAAGTCATCAATGCCAAAGAAAAAGAAAGAAAGTGAGTTAAGTGCCAATAAAAGTTCTTAAGTGCCTGTGTACAGCATTCCAGTTTTCAACATATCTCCACCAATTCTGCAGATACCAACACCATTCCCACACTTGCTTATAGTGCTCAGCCACACAATCCTACCTTCCAAAATTGGAAAGGATTTGCACACTCCACATGTTTCTACAGCACTCCCTCCAAAAGATGCTCATTTTGCTAATTCTTCTGATATGGCCACCTCCACATCAATCATTTCACTTGTCCCCTTTGCTAGGGACCATAGCTATGTATATCTACCAGGAGTTCCTACTAGCTTCTATCCTGAAGCATCCTGGTACATCCCATCCTCATCTGCCCCCTCTCAGCCCATCCAGCTTGGACAGTGCATTCTTTTTGTCAGTATGGCCTCTAAGAGGACATTATTTGGTCACCTCAGGTCTGTCATTCAGTCAGAAAGGTCTTATGTGGTCATTTTAGTCTCTCCAGTCCAAGAAGCATATGGATCCTTCCTCCCTGCTCCCTGCAACATCTTCATACTAGTCTCATCCATCATCCTTCCAAAATTGCAATAGCTACAGTATAATCTACTGTTCTCCACTCTCCTTGATTGCATCCATGATGAGTATGATGCACATCTTGCCTCCTTGTTGCAAGATACAGCAGAAGATGCTCCCCCTTCATCCTCTCTTCCAACAGAGCCTCATTTTGGAAGTTTTTATTTGCTTCACTGAGAGGACAGTTTTTGGGGGGGAAAGTTGCAATCCCCTATGCTCCTGCCACCCCACAGACCCCCAAATTTTGACCCCTGTTGACATCTGACTCACCCTGTCTGCTTCTGGATGTACTATATCAGCATCAGATTAGTGCTGCCTCTCTGTCATCCCACTTTTGCCTAGAAGCAATCTCTTCAAGATGTGACATGCACAGCCTCCTCCTAATGTGATTCCAGTGTGCTTTCCCAGTTCCTGACATTACTTGACTCATACTTTGACATTCTGACTGTCCTTGACTCACCTATTGCCAATACTTACCAATCTTTTGACCTTGCTTACTGATTCATCACTTTTTGGCTTACTTATCCTTACCAATGCTCACCAATGCTTTCTAAGATGATTACCCACCACTTACATTCCTTACTCATTAGTTACCAATCACTTACCAAGTGTTTGCACCTTGTTTTCCATAGGCAGCACCCCTGTACTGTATATAAATCACTGTACTTAGATAGCTGAAACCATCTTTGAGTGTTGTAGCTTGAAAAACCCACTGAGACAGAAGGTTCTACCATCTAGGTACCATGTAGGCACACCACCACTTGCTCTTATTGTCTTTTGTGTTGGTTTTGGTTGGTTTCCACCACTGAACCACACTTTGACTCACACTGGTTTCATCAATCAACCCAATCATCCCCATCCAAATCCTTGAACTTCTTGCCACCCTCCCATAGATGTTGCCCAGTGCCTGCATCCCAACCAAAATCAGCCTGCCCCATATGCCTTGGGTGCCACCCCCACTGGATCCATGAGTGCAACAACCCCAGCTTATGGGATGGATCACCCATGCACACTGGGTGAACCACAGAAGGCCACCTCATCAACAGCAAGGGAAACATCCTCTGCAGTGACTGGCAGAAGCCCAACAGTTGTGGACTCATGCAGAAGTCAGTCAAACACAAATGCTCTGGATGGGGGACCTGCAAACATGGAGCTCAGCAGTACCATCACACACAGAAGCACACAAGCACTAATGCCTTACAAGCCTGATTCATGGGACAAGGAACTCACATCACACAGTTTGTCAGACTGCTACAAGTACATTGTTCATGGGATGTGGTCCAGCTTCTCAGCAAACATACCCCCCCTCCCTCATACATATACTTCTCCAAACAGCCACACCATCCTGGAGCATCAAGTGGCCTTCAGCAAGGTCATAAACAAAGCATTCAGCAAGGGCAGATACATCAGACCATACATGTCATCCACCATTCAATGCAACCTCAGCCATTTCCAATCCTCACCAATCTCCATCATACCCAAAACAGGCAGGCCCAGCTGCTATCATTTAATACAAAATCTATCCTTTCCCCACTCTCCCTCTGCCTCCCCACCTTCCATCAACTTGTACATCGACACTGACCTATACCCAATGTCATACAGCATCTTTCCCATAGTAGCCACAATTGTTTCACACCTTCCCCTGGGGTCACAGGGCACAGTCAGAGACAATGGCAAATTCTCTCTCCACCTCAATGATCCAGATAATTTTCTTAAGCTGTGTTCTGCACTCTGCATTCTCCTCAGGTGACAACTCACAAATGATGATATCATGCATGCAGAACAACTTATCAGCAAGTATGGCACTAAGCTGATCATGGCACATTTGGCCTGTTCATCTCTTGATTCATTCATTCATATCAATCATCAATCAGCTATATGGTACAGGCATTACCAAGCCTAATCACCACTATGCGACCCATATAGGTGACTGTGTGTGAAACTTTGGGCCACTTCATGACTTTTGGACCTTTCTATTTGAATGACTGAATAAGATTCTCAAGTCATTCAGGATGAATAACCATGCAAATGGTGAACTCGAGATGACTTTCTTTGAGGAGTTCCACTGAATGTCTGAAGTTGCAAGATTGGTAAGTATCTACTTGTATCTGTTCATTGCAATTGATGTTAGACAATGCAATATACAATTCCTCAGACATTTAGGCTATGTTCTTATCCAGAGGAATCAATCCCTAGTCAGGCCACACAGATCATGTTGAAGGCTCCAAATGATGAACATGGAACAGTAGCAGGTCTGGCATTACTCACTGGGGAGATTGAGCTCACCAGCACAGATGGTATCTCCTTACACTATTGATCCATTAGATACTGATTATCCCTCGACCAGCAGGCATCTCATATGCTCTCAGCCCCTGATGTCACAAGAAGACGATTTCATCTGACACCTACAAGTTACTTGAAAAGACCCTTTGCAACCACTTTCTGCTTACTCCAGTCCATTGCCAAGGTCAATGTCCAGCTCTCCCCAACAGGTTGCCATTGACTACTGAGGCCACCTTCTTTGACTATGTCATCTTGGGTGGCAAGCAATACTATGCATCAAAATCAGTTGGCTACAGCCATTCATCATTCATTAATGTTGTTGTACCCAATACTAACCCATCCATGCAATTGCATGGTGAGATCTTGGAGATCTTTCAGGTCACACAGTGGCTTGGGATGGTAGACAAAGATCTGTGGTTTGCATGTGTGCAGTGGTTCAAACAATGGGATGGGGAGTGCCCTAGCATATGGGACAAGTTGTGTGTTTTTTTTTCCTTTCATTCAATGAAGCACTAGCAAATTCTGCATGTATAGCTCCATGGTTGGTGCCAAGGTGTGGTATCTTGGAGAGTACCTCAACCAGGACATGCAAATGCTACCAGCATTGATCAACCCTGACTGGATAGTAGGACATGTTGCTTGAACTATGATTACTATTGGGAACCATCAGCACAAGCTCTGGGTGATGGTTGATCTTGCAAAGGTTTGTATTTTGTCTACATCTTCACACAGATTTGACAACACAAATCATAGCAACCTTCTTGGTTCCCATTGAAAACCCAGTGTTCCCAGATTATGGTACACAACCTCTCTTATTCTACATCACTCTGATCTGCATCATTTTCATGTTCCTTGTGCTCCTTCCACTTTACCAACTCACTGAGGTATTTGGCATCCTCCTTCAACAGGTCTCCTTCTTGCAGCTGAGAGTAGAAGCTGTCCAGTCAGTCAGCACCATCAAGCAGTTTTATGTCTGGATGACTTCTTTGCCAAGCATTGTCAGCCATATTTTTGAATGGTAAGATGGGTTTCGCATGTGATTGCAGGCCTTGATCATACATCATCCCAGGTGGAGCATCAAATGTTCATTTCCATGTTTTCTTGTCAGACTTTCTGCATCTTCTTAGGGGTGCATTCAAGGTAGATGCAGCTATATTGGGGTTGACCATACCATTGCTATCTGCAGTCAAATTCTTTTGTGGACTTGAGTGTGAGATGATGAAGGAATGCGATATACTGTTGAACAGTTTCAAGTGGTAAGCATTTTCTCATGAAGATCAAGTGACTTGCATTGATGGATTGCCAGGTGTACCCAATCCCAACTTTTGCTTCCCTACCAAGATCTGCCTCTCTTCTTTGTCAATCAAGCATTTCATTAGCTCTTTCTTCATCACATGTCAAGATATCTGTGCTGAAGTCTGTATCAATCAATGCCATTGTTTCCTTGTGTTTGGTATCTTTTTCAAAGGCTTTGGCAGCAGCTCAATGCATCTTTGCAACCTTAATGCCTTGTGGTAAGTCCTCTTTTCACTAGTAGTATTGTTACCCACTCCCTGATGTTGTGTGTGTTGGCAGGTAATAGTTTTCTGATCATTTGCTTTTTGCAGTTTGCATGGGTCATTTTGTTCACTTTCTAACTTATGGACATTTTGAAAGTATGTCTTCGTGCATTCCTTGATGATAGGCATGCCATAATCACTGTCAGGAAGTTCACCCTTGCCTGTTTGCTGGTGCTGAGTCTACAATGCAATAAATGAATCAATTGGGACACCATTCAGTAATCTCTGATACCATCTCATTGTCCCAGATATGCTGAGCAACCTCCTGTATGAATTTGGCATTCAGGGCATCATCTACTTGGCCAAGGAAGTTTGGGTGCCACATGCAAGTCTTCTGGTCAATCTGCTTGAATGGCTCACATGTGTCCAAAGGCTTAACATTTGTCAGAGTGAGTGCTCTTGCACCACACTCAAGACTTCTTTTGATGCCACAAAGATCAGCAAATAGAGGGTGTATGTATAGCTGTAAATGGTATGATATATAGTTCTGTTTGTGAACAAGCTGATGAACCTTGAGTGCAGAGTGCTTGTTTGAACTCACTTTCATCGCTCTCCTCCCTCTACTTGATTCTGGATGATCATCTTGCTGTGTCTCCATCCATGCACAGAGAACAGCAACCTCTTCCTCAACAGTTTGAAGGTGAGTCATGAGTTTTTCTATAGTTACTGATTGCTGGCCCACAGTCTTGGAAAGTGCTCTCAACTCAGAGCTGCTGTTTTGAATGCCAGCCATATCTGGAGTTGGTGTGCCATATTGAAGTGAACTGAAACTCACAGATCTACTAGTGGAGGTCCATCCATGTGGCATCAATTGTGGTTGGTATGGTGTCTGATTCTTTTGCTGCCAGCTTGACTGAAATTCATCAAAGGGAGGCCCTGATTCTGAGTGTGGCATGTTCCCATGGTGTTCAAAGCTCCCTTGTCACAATGGAGCCCCCCTTGAGTCTGCATACATTGTCATTGTTGGATGGAAGCTAGTGTTCTTAGGATGTCCATGGGAATAGGTGACACCTTGATGGAAGTCTGAGAATTCTGAGCTGCTGTCATCAAGGAGTGAAGGCTGGCTAGGAAGCTGGGTAGAGTTTGAGAATGTGAAGTTGTTCTTGAACAACTGGTAAAGTAAGTGCTAATTGGTTGTGGTCATACTTCATCCTGCCTACCCCTGAACTTGTTCCTGTCATAGGAGGAACACCACCATATGGGTGGAGCTGTTGTGGATGCATGAAAGCCTCATTGCAGCTCTCTATTCATTCAGGTTACTGCATATATGCAGGTTTGAGTAGGATCATACATACCCCCATTATCATTCATATTATGTGTATTGAATCTGGGGTGATATGCAGGGCCAGATGGTTGTCTCTGTGGTGTCAAGGATGGATACATGTGTGCTATGTGTGCTGGAGGGAAGGGGGGTAGGAGGGGGAGGAGGGAAGGAAAGGATTAGTAGCTACTGGGCAGGTGGTGTGAGTCAAAGTGTGGTTCAGTGGTGGAAACCAACCAAAACCAACACAAAAGACAATAAGAGTGAGTGATGGTGTGCCTATGTGGTACCTAGATGGTGGAACCTTGAATTTGGGAGGGTTTTTGTGAGCTACAGCACTCAAAGACAAGCACTGAGGGTTGGGGGTGCTCCTCATGAAGAGGGAGCAAGAATGCAATAGAATGCAATAGGGTGGACTGTTGTCAGCCTACAGAAGGATGGATGATGACTTAATTTGATGCTCTGAGCTGCACTGAGCTCAGGGAAGACTTGTAGTGAAGTCTATTGATGAAAGATGATGATAAGTGAAGTAGATGATAGTTAGACCCTTCATAAAGTCTCAACTATTGAAGCTGATGAATGATTTATTGAGTGATGATAAAATGCAAGCAAGAGGGGCTGCTTCTTCTTCAGCTATCTAAGTACAGTGAGTTATATACAGTACAGGGGCATTGCCTATGGAAAACAAGGTGCAAACACTTGGTAAGTGATTGGTAACTGATGAGTAAGGAATGTAAGTGGTGGGTAATCATCTTAGAAAGCATTGGTGAGCATTGGTAAGGATAAGTAAGCCAAAAAGTGATGAATCAGTAAGCAAGGTCAAAAGATTGGTAAGTATTGGCAATAGGTGAGTCAAAGACAGTCAGAATGTCAAAGTATGAGTCAAGTAATGTCAGGAACTGGGAAAGTGCACTGGAATCACATTAGGGGGGGGCTGTGTGTGTCACATCTCAAAGAGATTGCTTCTGGGCCAAAGTGGGATGACAGAGAGGCAGCACTGATCTGATGCTGATATAGTACATCCAAAAGTGGACAGTGTGAGTCAGATGTTAACAGGGATCAAGATTTGGGGGTCTTTGGGGTGGCAGGAGCATAGGGGATTGCAACTTTCCCCCCCCTAACTGTCCTCTCAGTGATGCAAATAAAAACTTCATGAATGAGGCTCTGTTGGAAGAGAGGATGAAGGGGGAGCATCTTCTGCTGTATCTTGCAATAAGGAGGCAAGATGTGCATCATACTTGTCATGGATGTGATCAGGGAGAGTGGAGAACAGTAGATTATACTGTAGCTGTCACAATTTTGGAAGAATGATGGATGAGACTGGTATGAAGACATTGCAGGGAGCAGGGAGGAAGGATCCATATGCTTCTTGGACTGGAGAGACTAAAATGACCACATAAGACCTTTCCATGTGAGTGACAGACCTGAGGCAACCAAAGATCATCCTCCAAGAGGTCATACTGACAAAAAGAATGCACTGTCCAAGCTGGATGGGCTGAGAGGGAGCAGATGAGGATGGGATGTACCAGGACACTTCAGGACAGAAGCTAGTAGGAACTCCTGGTAGATATATGTAGCCATGGTCCCTAGCAAAGGGGACAAGTGAAATGATTGACATGGCAGCAGCCATATCAGAAGAATTAGTGAAATGAGTGTCTTTTGGAGGGAGTGCTGTAGAAATGTGTGGAGTGTGCAAATCCTTTCCAATCTTGGAAGGTAGGATCGCATGGCTGAGCACTACAAGTGAGTGTGGGAATGGTGTTGGTATCTGCAGAATTGGTGGAGATATGTTGAAAACCAAAATGCCATGCAGGGGCACTTGAGAACTTTTTTCAGTGCTTAACTTGCTTCCTTCCTTTTTCTTTGTCATCAACTCATTCTTGTGTGAGGGATGACTGCTGACATATCTGGCTGTCCTTCACATGAGGGCTATAGTCTTCATCTCCATTCAGCAGCTGCATCCATGTCCACCTCACCAAACACCTTTGGTGTGTGACACCAGTGTGAGTCAAAGTGAGGAAAGGTGGTGAAAACCAACCAAATCCAACACAAAAGACAAATAAGAGTGAGTGGTGGTTTGCCTCTGCAGAACCTGGAGGGCAGAACAACCTGATGTGGGGGGGGACTTCAAGTGGAGGTGCTCCTAGCACAAGTTGACAATGAGTTACACAGGAGTAGACAAGTGAGTGATGACTGGACAGGGGATGCTGAACAGGGTGAAGGTGTTCAGCCAAATGTATTCTGGAGTAATGTGCTTTGATAAAACATGCTCCTGGTACAAGTTGATGACAAGTTATGCAGGAGTGGAGGAATGACTAAGCATATGTGCTGACTAAGCATGGGGATAAAGCTTCAGATAAATGATGGAGGTAGATAGACCCTTCTGAATGAGCCTCAACTACCAAGTATATGAATGATGACAGATAGACCCCTTTGTGGAGCCTCAACTGTCAATGACAAGTTATGCACTGAGATAAGCTGAACTGACTGACTGGAATGCTTCTGGATTGCTTTCTGGAGAATCTTAGTTTCCACACTCAGTGGCTTGAATTTTGGCTTCAAATTTATATTGTTATACTTACAACCTAGCTGCTCTGGGAAAAATGGCCAGCTTGGGATGAAGAAAGGAACTCCAAACAAAGACAACGGAAGAGTAGTGTGAATACTATGTGTCAATGAACTCAAAATACAGAACATCTGTGCAAGATCAGCATGATCAAAGGCTATGATAAGTGGGGGGAGTGATCCTTCTTACAACAAGGCAAATGCAGGGGTGTATGAAGAACTCCACATGGCATCACAACAAGCAAAGTGTGAGAATCTATGACAATGTTTGGAACAAAGCAATGGCTGCTGGTACAATGGGCATTTACAGCATATTTGCAACAAAACCTGTTCTTGCACTTAGAGTTATGTGAAGATCTACAAAGCAGGGGTAAAGTTTCAAGTCCCCTTAGGGCGTCTAAGACATATGATGAAATTGATGCACAACTGTGGATGTCCAAGGGAGAAGTAGGCAACACAGATTCATGCACAGAGCCCAAGCACTCTTTGTTTCTTTTTGTTTCCATAATGAGCTACTTACAAGTGTTTGGCATTAGGGTATCCAATGAGTTTGAACAGGAATGGTCAGCTACCATCAAAGAGTTTGCATCAAATGAGTCAAAGACTGATCCCCAAAGGGGGGGGAGTTCCTCAAGGTGAGAGGAGTGCTGAAGGCAATAGTGCTGGAAGGGAAACTCAGGAAGGGGAATTACAAGATCAAGGTGCCCCTTTCAGTTTTGGTTCGAACACTATCTACCATGAAGTACAGATACCCTAGTGCAAAGGCAAAAATGATCGACAAGGATAGGACAGCTCAGAGCTGTTCATCAGCACTTGGCACCAAAATTCCATCCACCTGACTGCAAGGTGGAAGGCCAAAGTTTGAGATCGAAAGAAGTTAGCACCTGCACCCACTGGGGTCAAAGACCTATCTTTGAAGCAGGTTTGAGGGTCTACAGGGCTAAGGTAACAGGGTTTATTAGAGCTCAAGCATATGCTACATTGAAGTACTTTGTTTCTAGCAGTGAAAAAGTAGTTAACAAAGATGGACAGCTCCAAGTCACTTGGTGACACTTAGCACAAGGGCTTCAGTCACCAGACAAAGTGCCAGATGGAGTACCAGATGAAGTAGGAGAAATCAAGCATGCACATACACCAAGAGTTGATGGTATGAGAATGAGAAGGTTGGTATAGAGAAAGCCCCAGTGAGAGTATTGATATATAGTTTTTGTTAACACAAGTTTTGCTTTGTATGATGTCATTCAACTGAGTCAAACTAGTCTTTGGGGGATTCTACTCACCCCAACATGTAGTTTCAGTTTTCTTTCACTTTTTTTATGTGCTAGATTGTCTTAAGGACAAGCAGCATTCAAAAGCACATACATCTATAAGGGTAGTAAACATACAACTGATGAGGTTTTTGTTAGGTACATATTTGCCTTCAAGCCACCTTGTAGAGGGCCAATCTCCACTGTACCAGCCACAGCACTGCATTACACCACATTACCATTTCACACAGAGACTGCCTCAAAGAGCAGTTGCTGCTCTACTCTGCACTTGATTTATCACTCACTTGTTTGTGTCCCTGGAAATCATCTCCATTGTGGTTTTGGTTGATGTTTGGGTGGCAAGGGGAGTGCTCAAGGCCAGGTGGTGTTTGTGGGTGGAGAGAGTTGTGTCCAAGGGTGAGAAGGTTGGAGGTGGAGAGGGTTGTTCTGTGAGGTCCAAGGCAGGTCTTGGGAATGAAGGGGGTTGTGTTTGAGTAGTGCGAGGTTGGAGGGTGAGGAGTCATGTTTGAAGAGTTTGAGGGCAAGGATATGGGGTGAGGTCAAGGGAAGTGAGTGCAAGGATGAGGGTGTCTGTGTGAGGAGAAGAGCAACCAAGGATGGTCAAATTCTAAACCACCCCTTGGATGTAGGGAAATGAGATCAAATTCCCTACAAGAAATTGTCCTAGTCAGGAGATAGGGGTTGGGGACTTTTGTTTTATTTCTTGCGTTTGTTTTCATGTTTGTGCCACTGGACTTAGTGGTGAGCAGCTGCATTGCTGACTAAGTGTGTGTGCTGTGTTCATGCAAGTTCAGTCTACCATACAAGCAATCCATGTCAGAGGTCCTCAGCAACAGGGGATTTAGTCTCACATTTTGGCAAGTTTTCCAGGTCAGATTTATTACTTTGGGGAGTACCCAAAGGGCCAGGAGGACTGGCAAGAGGATTAGGACAGCAGGCAGCAGCTCCAAGATAAGTCTTTTCTCTAGTTCGCATTTTTTACATTTTTACTACACTTCATTTCTCCAAAACAGAATCTCCCTTTTTGGGTTGAGCAATATACTTGCCCATCAACTATTACTAAATCTAGGTTTATTGTATTACCTATTCCTACAGCACTTTGTCCAGCTTAATTCTGGTGATTGTGTGATTGTGCTGTCCTGGAGCATGTGCTGGATGGCTTTGAGAGCAATTTGGCCAAGCCTGATGTGTATCTCCTCCATAGTTAAGGATTCTGTGGCCTTAGCTAGGCCTGAAAAGGCATGATGAGCTCATTTGAGGCAGTAGAGCCCTTTTTGCATTGGAATTTTGGCTACATTCTTTTCCTGAGCATCAAAAAATTGACAACCTTTGTCTTGGAATAATGTGGCATATCCAGTGACATCAAGTTTGCAAACAGAAACAAGTGTAATTCCCATCTTGGGAGCATAGAGCATGTCCTTGAGTCCAATGTGGGTTTGTGCAGTGCCATTCAGAAGTGAGATTGCAAGATTGCCTTTCCCAATGGCATGGAAGGTGTGATTGTCAGCAGCAGTGATAAGTTTGGGGATGATTGGCTTGTAGTCAAGGAATTTGCTGCAGTAGGAGGACATACATATGATGTGAAGTGCCTGAGTCAAACAGAATGGTCACCTCTGTGGAATTTAGGCTTTTGCCTGCAAGATGAATGTGATCAAGGGTGTTTGTGTATGTGTCTTCTTTGTCAATAATAGTGGCACTCAAGGTGGCTTTGGAAGTGCTCTGGAAGTGGCAAATTTGAGAGCAATGCCATGACAGAGTTTGAAAATTATACCTCCCTATCAATGACACCCTCAACAGTCTGCTCACCTGCAGGTACTCTTTTCAAATCCCATGGCTTCATCAAGTGGACAAGCTTGTTGAGGATGGCCTTCTGTAACTGCAACTACTGGTGGTGGATCATCCTCACAAGTATCTGGGAGTGGGAGTAAAGGGAAGGGCCCAGCATCCAACAAGCAGCTGGTGGCTGACTCCTTGATGGAAAGTACCCAGCCAAAAAACATCAATTGGGATACTCCTCATACCAAAATACTTGTCCAGTGGCTTCTTAGCCATCCTGCTAACTGCAGGATTCTTTTCAGTGACAAAAACTCAGGTGACTTACCCCCATCACTATCATCTACTTCGACTGAGAGACCAGTGGGCCACAGCAAGAAGGTCCAAGCAATGATCGCCCAAGCCATTTTCAAGGATGACAGTGTCTACAAGGACATGTACACAGCAAGTGCTGCCAAGTTTCAAGTCAGTGTGGGCAACCATCTCAATATGTGAGTCTCTGATCATCTGATAAACCTGGGATTCACCAATGATCATCTAGGCTGAAAGTGAACTATCAAAACTATCAAAAGTGCCATGTGTGATTCAAACGGTCTGGGGAAGGCATCATACCTGGCCATCCAAAATTTGCCAACCTTCATGGTATGTTACATGACTGATGTACAAGAATGCAGGGGCTTATGTGTACATACAGATGTTGTTCTCAACAGTTTTCCTTGGTATGATGACTTACATTCCATTTGGCAGGGGAACCCATCATTTGATCCTGAGCCCTTCAACTCTGAGCTGAACAAAAACCATGCAGAGGGCTTCTCAGCAGTTATCCAAAACAAGACACTTGGTATGAAGAACATTTTGGGTTCTGGGGCTGAGATTGCAGGTGATTGCATGGGTGCAGGGGGGACAGTGGGGGAACTCGAGGAAGCTGAGGAGGATGTGCCATCTCAAGCTGGTGGTGAAGTCACTAATGATGGCAAAGAAGATGGTGGAGCTGGGTTTGATGAGGCAATGCCAGGGTTTGGGGATGAGCAGACTGGTGGTGATGAGTCCCCCAATGTCAACATGGACTCTGCATCTGTGCAGGGTGACAAGGTATGTTCATGTTCATTCAGAGCAATGATAATGAAATTGTACTGATAAGTTATTGCTAGTTACAATGGCCTTCAATGCCAAGTGACTCTCATTTCCCCTCTAGGTTCTCCCTCCTGCAGAGGGGTCATACACCCTCATTGGATAGCCAAATTGCCTTCTCTCAGTGTTTGCCATATCTTTGCCCTCCTCTTTCATCTGCAAGTATTGCCTCTACAACAACATCTGACACCTCCAGTAGCTCTTCCCAAAAACCTAGCCAGTCCCTCTGGGACTTGTCATCGAAGCCAAGTTTGATGCTAACTAAATGTGGCAAGTCTCAGCTTCAAGACCAGGTCATTGACTTGAGTCATGAAGCTGAGTCACTAGTGGCTTCTTCTTCTTCTGGGAAGACAAAACACTATATGGTCAAGAGGGAATATCTTCATAGGAAGGAGGAATTGATGAAAGAGCAGGCAGAAATGGCAACTAGGATGGAATTGGAGTTGGAGGCGAAGAAACTCAACATCCAGCTGACAAAGGCCCAGGAGATCACCTTCAATGGCAAGGCAGAGATACTTTGCCCTAAAATCAAGCTTGCAAAACTCATGAAGGCTGATTCAGACACAACCCCTCCTGCTGCATAGGTTTATCTTGTTGTGGCTGAGTTTTTACCCCACACTTCCCCACTGTATCCATCTCTGGCACATTCCCACTATGTACTTGTGTCATATCCATGTTTCTGCTATTCTCTCACAAGATGTACATATGGTGAATTTATTTTTTTCATCTTGCTAATACTGCCATCTCCTACAACTGCCATTAATTGGTTTGTTCCCATCTGAGATGTTGAAACAACTGATCCAACAGCTTCGCTCGAAATTGCTGACCAATAGTCTCCACAGCCTCCACCACAGCAATTCTGTCCCCATCATCAAGGCCACTTCCTTCATTGACCACCCAGTCAGTTGAATGCTTGATCATATCATCCATTTCCTCTTCAAACTGGATGATCATGTTGTGTAAGATGATGCAACAAAGCACCCAGTAAATGGTGTCTTTCTCTGTCTGTATTTTTAGGTGCACTTCATGGAGGCTTTGAAAGTGCCCTTTCAAGGCAGCAAATGCATATTCAACTCATATGCAGATCTTCCAAAGCTGTCAGCCCATATACTGCAGCAAAACTAGGTGCATACCTTTGAAAGGTACTTGTTATACACATTCTGATCTTGAGATAATCTCCCACCTTTAGACAAGACACCACATCTTCAATGGGTATTCACTGGCTGCCCATGTCCAATGATCACATGGAATCAACTGCATAGGATTTGAAGTGATGTGAGTCCCCTGGAAGGCCCATGCATCATGGACACTTCCAAGATGTCCAAGCCTGTAGTCCACAACAAGAAGATTGTGTAGCAAAATAATAAGCTATCTCAGTAAGTTTCTTCTGCTGTTCACACTCAGTGTTTGAGTACACACCTGACAGTTCAATGAGTACCTAGATTTTCTATCATAGAATGTTTCCCTGAAGATATGTGGTTTCTCAAAGAGGGGAATACTCAAACCATCAGGAGCAAACATGCCATTCCTCCAGGCTGAACAGGTGCATGACTCAGTGAAAACCTGCACTCTCTCTATCTCCTGTGAGTCTTCAGATGGAATGTTGATGAATCTATCATGCTTGTCCAGTATAGCTACCATCACACAGTTCATACAATTGACAACTGAGCCAATGCTAACACTGGCCCACTGCACTACATCCTCAGGCAATGCTGCATTTCCATAATGCCCTGCACAGAAAAGGAAGATCACCAACTGGACTGTGACTACCAGCTGATGGTTTTCAGAATTGCTTTGGAATATCACATGTCCACTAATCTGATCCAGAATGCAATCAAAAATTGGTGGGTCTACACAAAGGCACTTTCAAAACAGGTGGGACCAATGATCCACAAAATGGTCAAAGAGGCACAGCTGAGATGCCTGCATCATTGGCATCTCAGGTCTCTCAAGAATATGTGCATGCTCTACTTCATCTCTGAGAGCTGTGATCACATTTAGCAGCTGAGTGTAATGCTCATCATGCTCAGCTTTGGAGTCTGTGTCATCAGAGGTGCTGGATTCAAAATCTGACAGGATGAGAGTGACTGGCAATGGCAGAGTGATGAAGAAGAGAGTTTTGGGGGAGCTGGAGCCCAAACTCAGTGATGTTGACAGAGATTCCAAGCTGCTACTGTCAACTCCATGTCATGCATTTTCAAGCCTTGCTATCGCAACATGAGGGCTAGTCTCATCCAGCTGTTTGAGCAGATCTTGGTGGACAGATTTCTGGGGCATCTGGTAGCTCTTGGATGATGGGTAGATGTTTATTGATCATGTACAATGCATTAATAAAATGAGTTCAATATGTTATTTGACATGTATCTTCCAAGATAAGTAACTACCATGTATTGCTAGTCAAGCAGTGCTACAGGGCCTGGCACATCAGAGTCAAATTTTATAGCAGCAGTGGCCAGCCAGAGTGTGATTCCAGAGCACTTCCAGAGCACTTCCAAAGCAACCTTGAGTGCCACTAATGATGTCCTGGGGGTTTGGAATTTCTTCCTCTGCAATTTCCATTAGCCAATTGTCATCCTGCAGGTGTGCTAGCCAAACTCCATGGGGTTTGGAGTCAGTGCTGGGCTGTGCACTTCAGCTGGCTGTTGTGCTGGCAGCAGTGGCCACTTTTCCAGAGCCTTTCTCCTTCTTTTGTCCATTGCCTTTGTTCTGGAACCACTTGGGTGCTTGCCCAGCTTTTCTGCCACCCTCTTCCCAGCATTGGTCTCTTGCATGACCTTTCTTTCCACAATTTTTCCAATTAGACTTCTTTCCATCCTTTGCTGAATAAGCTGCATCTTTGGAATTTCTGGAGTTTCCAGAGTTGCCCATCTTCATCTGTGTTTGGTGCCTATCATATTTGTCAGAAATTACATTGATTATAAAGTCTGGAGATAGGTCCTTTTGCATGACCAGGGCTGAAGACATCATAGCTGTGAGGTTGGAGTTGTATGAAGCAGGAAGTGAACTGAGAATGATTGCTGGGAAGTCATCATCTGTGATAGAGGAGTGCAGCAAGTTGTTTGCACAGCACATGCATCTTGTCAAAGTGAGCATGGACATCACCTTTTTCTGCCCAGCAGGATTCTTGGAGTTTTCTCTGAAGATCAATTGCAACAATGTGAGAGCAGTTTTGGAAAAGATCTGTGAGGACACCCCACACACTCTTCACAGTCTCTTCCTTCAGAACTTGAAGGAACAATGATTCTGGGAGTGACACAGCAATCACCTGCTTGACATATCCATTGTCATTTGCCCATTCAACCCAAGCCTTGTAGTAAAGCCAGTTGCTTCCATCCACATTTAGGGTTGGAACTTGTAAGGAATGATCATCTTTTGCCATAGTGGGTAGTGTTGCTGTGTAATAACTGTTTTGGAATTAGAGCATGAGAGTTGGGCTCATAACCTAATGAAGGTATGAGTATCTCAGTGCACAAAGTAGTGACTGAGGTGGAAAATAATGGTATGGAAAATTTATAGTATTGTAATTACTAAGTGGGGTACCATCGGAATTTAATTCTGAGAGTTGGGGAGCAATTCCAAGCCCTCTGGGTGAAACCCAGACATGGATACTGCTGATGAATGGAGATGAAGACTATAGCCCTCATGTGTAGAACAACTCCCAGGAACATTGGCAGTCATCCTTCACACAAGAACAAGTCATCAATGCCAAAGAAAAAGGAAGGAAGCGAGTTAAGCACCAGTAGAAATTCCTAAGTGCCCATGTACAGCATTCCAGCTTTCAATGTATCCTCCCCATTTCTGCAGATACCAACACCATTACCACATTTGCCTATAGTGCTCAGCCATGTGATCCTACCTTCCAAAGTTGGGAAAGATCCCCACACTACACACATTTTGACAGTGCTCCCTCCAAAAGACACTCATTTCACTAAATCTTCTGATATGGCCACCTCCACATCAATCATCTGGCTTGTCCCCTTTGCTAGAGTCCAAGACTACATATATTTACCAGGAATTCCCACTAGCTTCCATCCTGAAGTATCCTGGTACATCCCATCCCTGACTGCCCCCTCTCAGCCTGTCCAGCTTGGACAGTGCATTCTTTGGTCACCTCAGGTCAGTCATTTTCTTAGAAAGGTCTTATGTGGTCATTTCAGTCTCTCCAGTCCAAGAAGCATATGGATCCTTCCTCCCTGCTCCGTGCAACATCTTCATACCAGTGTTGTCCATCATTCTTCCAAAATTGCAACAGCTACAGTATAATCTACTGTTCTCCACTCTCCCTGATCACATCCATGATTAGTATGATGCACATCTTGCCTCCTTATTGCAAGATACAGAAGAAGATGCTCCCCCTTCATCCTCTCTTCCAACAGAGCCTCATACATGAAGTTTTTATTTGCATCACTGAGAGGACAGTTGGGCAGGGGGAAATGCAATCCACTATGCTCCTGTCACCCCACAGACCCCCAAGGCTTGACCCCTTTTGACACCTGACACCCTTTTTTTTTTAACTCTGAATTAAAGTGTGTGAGTGTATGTAAGTACACCCTATTCTGCACTATACTGGCTAGACCTGAGGTCCAGAGAGAGTAATGAGGGGGGGCATCTATTGTACTATTAATCTACACTGCCTGACACCACAAGGGCAGATGGAGGAGGACTGGAACCAGTGAACACTGCAGGCAGAAATGAAGTTAGAGAGAAGCAGGATGGGGGGGATGCCAAGGGGCTGTCTACTGGGCAGTAGAAGGGAGGTGAGAGTAAGGAGGGGTGCCCCCAATCAGGGCATATACCATGGCAATAACAGCAGGAGAGGGGGCCTACAATCATCTTGGTGAAAAGTATGTCAACAGTGACTGGCAGCCTGTGCTGAAGGCCATCATGGAATCTGAAGATGATGATACAGCACTCAATGCAGTCTCAGCTCACCACACTGCTGCATTGTCTCACTATGGGATCAAAATCTGCATTCCTGTGCTTGTGGCAATCTCCAATCCTGCACAGAAGCCAAACCAACTTGCCTTGGTGGAATCCAAAGTGATGGAATCTGTCCATTGCTTAAAGGAAAGGAATTGCATTTTTGGCAAGCTGCCATCTGTTGATGAACTAGTTGAGCCACCAGAAGAAAGGGAACTCCCAGAGTTCATATTGGATGGGAGTAACAAAGCCATTGCTGATGCAGTGCACTCAGAGACAGCTGTGGAAAATGGTGAGGTCATTGACATCAATGACAGTGATGACAGTGACGAAGGCAACTCCAGAGATGTCATGGTGCCATCTCACAGTGAGCTTATCAAATTGTGCAAGGAACTCAAAGCTGGCTGCATGCAGTATGGAGGTGATCCCCAAACCTTGCTCAATCTATCCTCCAACCTTATCAAGTTTAGAGCTCGTCTACAACAAGAAGTGATCCTTTTGGCAAAACAGACCATGCTCCCCATGTATTTCACTTGTTAATGTGCTGTATTTACCATGTATGCCTCCACAGGTATGGGTTGGTTACTCTATGTCACAATTGTAACTGTATGTCACACATTGTGTCACATAAGTGTGACAAATGCCTTGTGCATAATGGACTTAATGCATAGATTTTTGGTAGACCCACTATGATGCATTATGAGGTATTCTACTGTATGTGGCAACTGGAGATGAGGTTTGGATGTGCCTTGCAGCCATATTAGGCATTTCTGTGCCTTGGAATGTGAGTGTGAAATGAACTGAATTTGAGGGATGTGTTCTCTCAGACAGGGTATTCAGGATGATTTGGTGTGATCATGTATCATGTTAGTCACATCATATAGGGAGGTGCTTGGGAATGTTGGGCACAAGAAGATGATAATTGTGAGGTTTTTGGCCCAACATCTGTTGGGCATTCTCTGGAGTTGCTTGTTATTTTATTTATTTATTTTTTGTGGACATAAATGTGAGGAAGGCAACTGACTAAGTCAGCACCTTGGTAGCATGTAGGGATTTGGGGTTTGCACCCATGGATTGTATCAGAACATAATCATATAATCATAAAACCCATGATATCACCCAGGGGAAATGCTTGATGCACACTGGTTAAGGTAGTGTGGGACTCCCCACCTCATTGGTACAGTACCTATCTACCATGCCCTGGAGGACACTGAGGTGTGATACCCACTAAAACCCCTGACATCCAAATCCAGTTGTTTGTGTCATGACCATGCATTCATCCTGAGTCCTCACTTACTCCACACCCTTTTCCACTGGTCATTCACTCACTCTGCACCAACTCCACCCACCTTCTGTTGTTTACAAACCATCTCTGCTCTGACTTCTGTCAGACTTGTACTGCTCTCCTACCAGGCTGTGCAGACTGTTCTCTGAGGAGTCATGTGACTACCCTTCAGACTTCTCCCTGACAGTGCACAGTCAGGTACTCCACAGTGTGTGCACTGCATGGTCCAGTGCCTGGACTGTTCCCTTTTTGGGATGTTCTATGTTACCCATTCATATGTCCTCCATCTACCCTTCATTTGTCATCTAGGAAGTTTTACTTGAAATTTTATGAGTCTCCATATGTCAGTTCCAATTCCAGTTACTGTACCTCCATAGTAGTATAAAAGCATGTATCATACTCTGCTGTTCTGCAGTATGAATATCAACTTGGTTCCTACTCCCTCTGTCTCCATCTTCTGCCTGTCAGAGTTACCTCTGACTTTTTGTCTATTCTCTCCCTCTGAAATATGAGGGCTGAGATTGTGCAAGGGGGTAGTGCACAAGCTAAACCTGATGCCCTCACTCTGCTCCACCTTTGTCTTGGTGGACTTCATTCCTGCCAACACTCTGCCAGTTGGAGTTCTGTTTCTTTGTGTTGGACTTGCTTCCAAACCTCTCCCCAGACCTCATCTAGCATCAGAGTTGGTCGGAGTAGGCCCAGACTTGACAGGTTGGAAGATTACTTTCATTTAGCAAGGTGCCATGCCAGGTTTTGAGAACAGTGTCTTGCTTTATAGCTTTATTACCATAGTGTTTGACATCTGTTTGGAGGTGGTTGAACTTTAGTCTCAGGTTTATGGTGTATATGGTAGGCCATCTAGGCCTGCTGCTTTCCCACATGGTAAGTTTCATAGGTTTATGTCAATTTTGACCTGTGAGATGTTCTTATCTAGGGCTTCAAACTCTGCCTTGGGGAGTCTAACATCAATATTCAAGAGGACTTTGTCCATTGCTGCCCAGCACTCATCTGGGGGCATAGATCTGCTTGTTGTAGGTCATCATAAAAGGATCTTGCTATTGAGGCCATATCATCTGATCTTGAGCAGTAGAGTGGGTTTTCAGGTGGAGATGAGGGGTCTTGTAGTTCGATTATGGTATCTTTAGGTTTCATGTATCTTCTGGATTTTGCCCATAGCTTGCTCATGAGAGATTTGCATGCTATGCATACCTTAAGGGATGTATGGTCTCATATATTCATGTGTCATATTTGCCTTAGGCACATGATGTCTTCCTGGAGTTCACAGCTTGCCTGGAGTTTAGCTTTGTTGCTGAGGGACTGGTCATTTAGGGTTTCATGGAGCCTTTCCTGCAGGTTGTTTATCTTTTTTGATAGGGTAGGCATTATGGTGCATGTGCAATTATATAGTATGTGTGTGGCCATATCTTTAAATGTCTTGAAGAGTATTTGAGGGTTTCTGGTGGTGGAACAGTTACTTGGGTTACAGGATGCAAGTTCATTGGATAGTTTTCATGCTTCCTTAACTATTTGCATACAGACTTCTTTGTCTTTCAAGAGGCTCATGTTGTTCATTTAGACAGGCAGACTGACACCATATGGTGGTCTGTATGGATGGAAGGGGGGTCTATTGACCAGTCTTTACAGAAAGGAATCATGTTTTTGAGAGCATAGATTTGGTCAATGCAGGACACCTGTCCTCCTTGTCTGGCAGACTGGGTGAAGGTGAATGATAGATCAGAGGGGTTTGTTTGTCACTGGCTGTCCTGTAGGCCAAGGTGGGACTTGAGAGCTCTGAGGGTGTTCGCTGTGTTAGTGTGATCAGGGTGGGCCAGCATTCTGTTGATGGAGTCTTCTATGATGTTGAAGTCCCCTAGTTGGACATCTGGTTGGGTAAGTTAATGAGTTTGTCATGAATTGTCTCCCAGAAGTTTTGGTTTTCCAACAGGTCATTGGGGGTGTACACATTTAGCAGATTGAGTTTTTCTTGTTGGTACCAATGCATCATTATCAGGATTGCCCTTCCAGGTATTATCTCATGAACTTTGACATCATTCATTTTCACAAGACATTTGTTGAGGGCAATTGTGATGCAAGTCACCAATGGGTGATTTGGGTGTATGCTAGTGATGATGGATAGTGTATCTGTGAAGATATTGTTCAGAGAGGTGGTCTGCACTGGGCCCAAGTGGGTCTCCTGTTGGGCCAGGATCACTAGATAGTCATCCCTCATCTGTTGATTGATGTGGAGCCACTTATCACTGCCATCATGGAAACATCCCTTCATGTTCAGTGAGGCAATTGTAATGCTGGACTTGTTATTTGACAGATCCATAAGTTTCACATTTGTTCTTGCTATTCTTACTTATCCCATTCATCTACATTGACATATTTGTGCCTATCCTCTACTGTATAAAAGGGCCTGTAAAACATAGAGTACAGGGACTTCTTTTCCCTACACCAATACAGACTGCAACATCTGGATAACTTGTAGTGTGCTTAAGAAAGTTCTGTTTGTGCCTATGTTGCATGTCTAAGTACTTTGCATCAGTGTGAGTCAAAGTGTGGAAAGGTGGTGAAAACCAACCAAAACCAACACCAAAGACAGATAAGAGTGAGTGGTGGTTTGCCTCTGTGGAACCTGGGGTGCAGAAAGAATCTAAAGTGGGGTGGGGACTTCAAGTGGAGTGCTCCTGGCACAAGTCATCATTGAGTTATGCAGGAGAAGACAAGTAAGTGATGACTGGATGGGGGATGCTGAACAGAGTGAAGGTGTTCAGCCAAAAGTATTATGGACTTCAATAAGATGTACTCCTGGCACAATTCGATGACAAGTTACACAGCAGTGGGAGGATGACTAAGCAAGACTGCTGACTAAGTGTGGATAAAGCTTCAGATAAAGGATGGAGGTAGATAGACCCCTTCATGGAGCCTCAACTGTTGACAATGAGTTATACTGAGCTGAACTGAGCTGACTGCTGAGTGACTTCTGAATTGCTTGGGGTGTAGCTAAGTACATGGGGGTTTATATACTGTGGGGGGAGCACAGCCTATGACAAACAAGGCAAAAATGCTTGGTAAGTAGTGAGTAAGGACTGAGTAATCATGATGAGTAAGTGAGAAATGAAAAGTAAGCAAGTAAAGAAGATTGATAAGTATTGGCAATAAATGAGTCAAGGAAAGTCAAAATATCACAGAATGAGTCAAATAGAGTCAGAAACTGAGTAAGCACACTGATATCACATTGGGGGGTGGCAATGCAAGTCAGATCTTGGTGGAGACATCCAAAGATGGCATGACAGATGGACAGGGTTTCCAGATAGGGAAGTATTAATTCCAGAATTGAAGGGCATGAGTCAGGTGTCAAAGGGGCTAGGGTGTTGGGGGTCTGTGGGGCAACAGGAGCATATGCAATCATGTCTCCCACCCTTTCATCCTCTCAGTGAAGTTAACAAAAACTTCATGAATGGGGCTCTGACAGAGGAGGAGGAGAAAGGGGGGACATCTTCTGCTGGATCTTGCAGTAAGAAGGCAAGATGCATGTCATACTCATCATGAATGCGATCAGGGAGGCTGGAGAACAGTAGATTATGCTGCAGCTGTCACAATGTGGGAAGAATGATGGATGAGATTGGAATAAAGGTGGTGCAGGGAGCAGGGAGGAATGATCCATATGCTTCATCAAGTGGGGAGACCAAAACAACCACATAAGACCCTTCTAACCAAGTGACAGACCTCAGGTGGCCAAAGAACATCCTTCTGGAAGTCATACTGACAAGGAGAACACACTGACCAAGCTGCATGGGATGAGATGGGGCTGACAACAACAGAATGAACCAGGGGGCTTTGGGACAGAAGCTGGTGGGAATGCTTGGCAGATATACATAGCCACTGTCTCTGGCAAATGAGACAAGCAAGGTGATCAACAAAGAGGTGGCCATTATTGATGGACTTAGTGAAATGAGTGTTTGGTGGATGGAGTGTTGTAGAAATGCATAGGGTGTGAGGATCCTCTCCAAATTTGGAAGGCAGAATTGCATGGCTGAGCACTTTAAGCAGGTGTGAGAACAGAGTTGATATCTTTGGAAATGGTGGAGATATGATGAAAACTGGAATGCTGTACACAGGTGCTAAAAACTTTTAATGCATACTTAACTCACTTCCTCTTCTCTCTTTAGCACTGACAACTTGTTCTTGTGCAAAGGATGACTGCTCACATCCAGCAGCCTTTCTATGCATGAGGCCTTTAGTCTTCATCTGCATTCATGGGCATTACACACAACTTGTTGACAAGTTAGGCAGAGTCAGCTGTAACCATGTCCACAACACCTTTGGTGTGTGACATCAGAGTCACATATTTTGATCCTTTCAAAAAACTGGTTGTTCAGGATGGTAGGGTAGCACCCAAGAAATGTGCCTTTGTGTTGTTTCACTACTTGATGGGAAAAGTGTACAAATTCTATGTATGTGAAGTATCTGGTGACCCCTACAAGTAGAAGTTGTCAGATTTCTTCATGGAACTCTTTAATTACTGCTGCTCTATTATCTTCTGATTGTGACAGAAAGAGGAGTTGCAGGCATGTTATCAAAACTCTAAAACCATTAAGAATTATGTGTATGAGCTGAATGAGTTGTGGAACATCATTGGAGAAATGGACAAAAGAGCCAAGGTCCACAAGCTCTGGTCTGGCCTTTGTAAGGAACTTCAACAAGACCTGTGGCAAGAAAAGTTGAATCCTGAAACCTCTTCACTGAAAAAGGTTATCACAAGTGCTGAGGTCCTCGAAATCACCCAGTCTATCACTGGAGATTATGTTCCAAGGTCCCAGAGATGGCAGAGTGAAAGGAGAGCTATCATGAGTGCTGCTGCATCTCCTGAGGAACCAGATCCTTTGAAGTGGGGACAGAGATGTCACTGCAGAAAAAAATGAAGGGACTGTGACTCATGGAGAGAAAATACCCCTACAGACAGTGGTCAACCCAAAGCAAGAAGAGAAGGATGCTCAGAGAGGCAAAAATGCGACACACCTAAGTCAAGCTAGGGAGAGCAGGAATGGCACAAAGCCAAGGGCCTGTGTTACATCTGCCACAAACAGGGACACTTCTCCTGAAATTGCCCATCATGGCACACAGTGTTGTCAATGGGCAAGCCACCAGGGGTCATGAGTTTTGGGATAGACATAGACTTTGGGGATGTTGAGTGTCAGTGGCACCTGGCCCAGTCATCAAGAGACAAATCCAGAGTATCACTAAATTTCATACATGTGTGAGAACCTACAGTCTATGATGATGACAACATCCCAGAGCTGGCAAGCATCTGGAGCAAAGGTGAGGGTGAGGGTGCTGAAGATAGTGTCACTATGGACAATAGCAACTTACCAGAGGGGATGCAAATCCACATCTATTCACATAACCAGTACATGGGACACTGATGCACAAGCACTGCAATAGGAGGCAACCCTTGGAAGATCATGTGGTCAAATGATTGTCAGGCATTTGCTATCCTGGTGATGACCAAAACTCACTAAGTACATTCATGGACACTCAGTTCCTGGTGTATGACATAGGAGATGGCCTGCATATGATTGTTGACAGTGAATGGGATGTACTAGGACCTGAAGATGCTGTCACCATTGAGACCAGTTTGCTGAGAAACCCTGCATTCCAAATAGATTCCTGGTACTGGTTCAGAAAGGGGGAGAAGGCTGGAATGGTGAAGTCTAACTTATGCTTATGACATATGGACAGAACCCAAACATGGCAATCCACACCTATGGGATGCCTGATTGAGGAGGCCATAGAGGCAAAACTGGAGATGTATAGTTTCCAGGTACTTGAAGGAGAAAATCAGAGCCAATTTGCATGCATACTTAAGGATGATTCAACTTATGAAGTGTATGACTATCACATGGCCATGTGTTTTGAGCTCTGTCAGGTCCAGGCCTACTCCAACCAACTCCAACACTAGATAGATCTGGGGAGGGTTTGGAAGCAAGTCCAACACAGAAGAATAGAACTCCAACTGGCAGAGGGTCAGCAGGGATGAAGTCTGCTAAGACAGAGGCAGAGTGGAGTGAGGGCATCAGGTTTAGCTCATGCACTATCCCCTTGCATGATCCCAGCCCTCATATTTCAGAGGGAGAGAACAGATGGATAGTCAGAGGCAATTCTGACACACAGAAGATGGAGACAGAGGGAGTAGGAACTAAATTGATATTTGTACTGAAGAACAGTGGAGTATGGTACATGCTGTGTGCACCCTGCAGAGTACCTGACTGTGTGCTGTCAGGGAGAAGTCCAAAAGGGAGTCATGTGACCCCACAGAGGACAGCTGGAGTTGGTGCAGGATGAGTGAATGACTGTGGAGGAGAATGCAGAATGAGTGAGGACCTAGGATAAATGCATGGTTGTGACAGTGTCCCCCCCTTATGGCCTGAACCCCTGAAGGCAGTGGATCATTTTGAAATTGGCAGATGCCTTGAGGACCAGGGTTTAGCTGCAGTGGAGCTCTGTCAGAGTTCAAAGTACCACTTAAAAACACATGTTTAGGGCACAGAAACCCCATACCTTCTGCCCCCATCATCATGTCCTTCCAGCACAAGAACACAACCCTCCAGCCAACCCCAGGCCACTCCTGCAACTACTCCCAAGTCACAGATGATGCATTGGTCATCCTCACTGATGACTCAACTGACACCAAGCATGAAAAGAACACAGTGTCACACACCAAAGGTGTTTGGTGAGGTGGACATGGATGCAGCTGATGAATGGAGATGAAGACTATAGCCTTCATGTGAAGAAGGACAGCCAGAAATATTGGCAGTCATCCCTTGCACAAGAATGAGTTGTCAATGCCAAAGAAAAAGGAAGGCAGCAAGTTAAGTGCGGAAAAATTTCTCAAGTGCCCATGTATGGCATTCTGGTTTTCAATGTATCTCCACCAATTCTGCAGATACCAACACCATTCCCACACTTTCTTGTAGTTCTCAGCCATGCAATCCTACCTTCCAAGATTGGAAAGGATTTGTGCATTCCACACATTTCTACAGCACTCCCTCCAAAAGATGCTCATTTCACCAATTCTTCTGATATGGCCACCTCCACATCAATCATTTTTCTTGTCCCCTTTGCTAGGGACCATGGCTACATATATCTACCAGGAGTTCCTACCAGCTTCTGTCCTGAAGCATCCTGGTACATCCCATCCTCATCCACCCCCTCTCAGCCCATCCAGCTTGGACAGCACATTCTTTCTGTCAGTATGACCTCTAGGAGGATGTTCTTTGGTCACCTCAGGTCTGTCATTCACTTGGAAAGGTCTTATGTGGTTGTTTCAGTCTCTCCAGTCCAAGAAGCATATGGATCCTTCCTCCCTGCTCCCTGCAATGCCTTCATACCAGTCTTGTCCATCATTCTTCCAAAATTGTGACAGCTACAGTATAATCTACTGTTCTCCACTCTCCCTGATTGCATCCATGACAAGTATGATGCACATCTTGCCTCCTTATTGCAAGATGCAGCAGAAGATGCTCCCCCTTCATCCTCTCTTCCAACAGAGCCTCATTCATGAAGTTTCTATTTGCTTCACTGAGAAGATGGTTAGGGGGGGAAGGTTGCAATCCCCTATTCTCCTGTCACCCCACAGACCCCCAAAGCTTGACCCCTGTTGACATCTGACTCACCCTGTCTGCTTTTGGATTTGTACACTGCACCACTTACAGCTGTTTGCAAAACAATGCAGAAAATCTGTTTGACAATCAGACTGTTTGGATATAGCCAGGATAGGACCCCAGAAGTACCTTAGTGGGTAGCTACTGTCTGTTACCATAGTACACTAAGAATCAAACATACTGCCTGCATGCCCTCTCACATGGTATCCATTGACCTCAAGTCTCGTATTCCTGTCCTTCACAAAAATGGCTATAGCATCAAGCAAATCTGTAGTATTCTAGGCATCAAGAAAACACTCATTTACAAAACTCTCAGACTTCACACCAAGTACAGTGTCATGTACAACCCAAACACTTATTCCCATACCATTGGTTGTCGTCGCATTCTCAGCCTCGAAGACATCCTGTTTATCCTTGCCATCATTCAACATCGCAGCACAATCTAATCAATATTTTGCGACGCCTGGGCTTGCACTTTGTGGGCTGGATGCAAAAACAGCGCTTTGTTGCTCCAATTGAAAGACTCAAGGTTTGGGGGAACCAACAACATAGCTTGCCCTTCATCCTACAGATAGTTTAGGGATAGAATGTTCATGAGTAGTGAAAGACTTACCAATGCATGGCACCAGTCCAGTACCATCGCAGGTGAAAGGGGGATTGGCCCTGCTGGCCCAACATAAGTCATTCCCTCGTTGTTCTCATTCTTGTACTGGCTCAGGAGTTTCATGTGCCACCAGGCAAGGCACATATCAAGGTCTGAATGTTTCTGCTTTCCACTATCCTCACCAGACGAGTTGCTCTCGTCTCCAGAGCCATCGATAGTCAGAAGTTTCTCCACATGCTTCATATTGATGTAGATCTTCATTGGGCCAGGGTGAATGCTACGAATCCTCTTGACCATATCCTTGTAGTCGACTTCATTATCGACATCGATTGCACTACTGACAGCTTGGCTAAGGTAAAGCATGGTTTGCAGAGTGAGAAACAACTTACCTCCGTGCTTTGGGCGGTACAAACTTGAAGGGAAAATGTTTACTGCTTGAGACCCTATATTGTCCTTGACCATGCTTGTCCAGTACATGCTGTAGAAAATCGAGGTAGTTAGTATCGTTGACAGCAAAAGTAAGCTCTTTTGTCTTCATGGTCGCTTTTGGCACAGTCTTTCCCTTCTCCTTTTTCTTGGGTCCATAGACAGAAAGCGAAATCATGAAAGAATGTAATTTTTCTGTGATGGGAGTGGGGGATCATGATGGCGATGACATGTTGAAAAACAAGTCTGCTGTAGGGACAAAGTCTAAGTACGTGCTTACACTACACAATGTTACCATAGAGGTGGTTTTGGGGTCCTATCCTGGCTATATCCAAACAGACTAAGTGTCAAACAGATTTTCTGCATCATTTTGCAAACAGCTGCAACCTGAACAGGTGGAAATACAAGTCAGCTCTGCCTGACTCACAGCACTCCATCTGCTTGGCCTGAGCCCTCTCCTCCAAGGCTCTCTGCCTCTGCCTCTCTGCCTCTTCCTCTGCTGCCTGCTTCCTCTGTGCTTCCTCCTCCTCTCTCTGCCTCCACTCTGCCTCCAGTCATGCCTCCCCTGCCTTTTGTCATTTGGCCTTACACTCCACCTCACACACACTCTCTGTCTGCTTTGCCTCCTCCCACTGACAAGCCCTCTCTGCTGTGAGTCAAAGTGTGGTTCAGTGGTGGAAACCAACCAGAACCAACACAAAAGACAATAAGAGTGAGTGGTTGTGTGCCTATGTGGTACCTGGATGGTGGAACCTTAAATTTGGGAGGGTTTTTGCAAGCTACAGCACTCTATTCTGCCTTTCCCTGTTGTACTCACATACTATGCCTCACACCCAGTCCCTTCCCCTTCAGATCCCCCACCATGTCTCGTCTGTCAGATGAGCTGAGGTTACTGCAGCCCTTGTCAACCTTGACTTGGGCTCATGTTCAGGCCTTGAGCCCATTGAGGAAGGCAAGGACCACCCAATGCTGGGAGGTTCTCATCAACCTCCACTGTGAGCTCCACTTGTTCTGGCTGCAAAATTTTGTGGCTGGACTCCTGGTGACTTAGTGGATGGCAATGTCCAACTTCATTCTGGAGCAGCTGCTGAAGCAACTTCAGTCACACAAGTGATTGACTTGCTCCCAGTGGAACATCACCAGTCACTCTTCCCTGAGTTACTTCAGATCACAGACAAAGTGACTAAGGCTGAGTTGGTCACTAACCAGATCAACTGCCTTTGTGTAGATAAAATTGCACAGCAAATTCCTAATTTCCTACATAGCTGTAAGCTGCACACCGTCCAGTTCTCAAAAAGTGCTTGGACCACTCTCCCCAACCTTAGCAAGGTTGTTGTTGAGGGCCATAAGGAGTACCTCTTCGAGCTTCTTGATGCTATCATTAAGGAGAAGGAAAAGGAGGAGTGCCAGCCACAGGCCAGTCTTAATATCATTACCATTACTAATCATCTCTATGAGACAATCACTATGGTGCACTCAGACCTGGAGAAGTCATGTATGATTCCCAAGGATACCAAGAAGCTGTTGAATGAGGCTATGAGGGAGGACAAAGAACCTGAATTAATTCCTGCCCCCCATGTTGAAGCCATCTATTCCTCACTGTTGCACAAAATCCCTAATCTCATAACCCACATCATTGTCCTCTCACACACTTACATGGTCACTGAGGAAAACAAGCAGAAAAAGAAGAAGGAATTAAAAGATGTGGCCACTGCCACTGCCAGGGAATTCATTCCCAATAAAAATAAATCCAGCATCGCTAAGATGGTCATGGCACAGGTCAAACAGCAGATGAATGCAAAGGTGAGAATTCATCATAAGACTTATCCATACTGACACCAATTAGGGTCCCAAGCCTGGCAAGGGTGCCAAGGGAGGCAAGAAGAAGAAGGACACTTCTGGGGGAAACCCCAAGAAGAAGAATTCCAACAAGTAGTCAAAAGCCTTGGACTCGAAAAAGGCAAAATCAAAGAAGCAGAAGAATGCCAAGTGCTCCAAGGGCAAAGGCAAAGAGAAAGCTTCATAGAAAATGCCTTCGACTACCTGGAGGGGGTAAGTACTGGTGCTATTAGGTTTGAACATCCTAGCACATATCCTGACTGGTTGCTAGATTTGCCACCATTCATCACTGTCTCAATAATTGTACAAACCCTATGTCCCATAGACATACTAGAATGTAGTCTACTTTTACACCATGTACATGTTGGTCTGGATACTCCACTTACATTGGAAGATCTTCCAATGTATTATACACTATCTTTTGGGTGGAAGTGTCTACTTCCCACCATGTCTGACATGTCTTTGCTTTATAATGCATGGATGAACCTTAAAGAACACCTGAGATGGTGATTCTACCATCTAGAAGGTGCCATGAGTGAAACCAACCCCATAAGAGATGTTGATGAACCTGACTTCGATCTAAGGCAGTTGGCTACTGCCTTTAATATAGACAATAATGAAAATCCCATGATTGGATGGTGCCTGTTGGAGGGAGATGCTTTTGTCACTGAACAGTGCCACACCATAACCCCACAGCATCAACAGTCCACCAAACTTTCGAATTCTCTCCAAACCATCAGGCAGTGGCTTCACCACCATGAGTTAATGGTCCTACCTTTGGACAAAAATCTGGGATGTACTGTAGTCATGGTAAAATGGTTTGAAAAACAAAACATACCCTCAACCTCCTTGAGAAGGAAAACTCAGGATATGTCAAACTTGATTTCACCACCTCCCTGGAAATAACTGGTCACGATATCAAAATGCTGTACAGATTAACAGACAAACTTTGTGCACAACTTCCCAAGTACAGACAATTATGGAAGTTTCTACTCCAGCATGTCCCCCCACAAAAGCGCAGTGATGAGTACATCCCATGGGACATCTGGCTTAGAATGGTCAAACTACCACAATTCTATGGAATTCCGAAGATCCATAAGAATCCAGTAAAAATGCGCCCTATTGCACCATGCCACTCAGACCTAAGAAATCCAATGTCAAAACTAGTCTCCAAAATCTTAAAGCCCTTCATAGAACAATGTCCATACATATGTCAAGGGACCAAGCAGTTAGCCCAAGAATTTTATAGTACAGTTCTACCTAGAAATGCAACCCTGTGGACAGTTACCAGTGATATAGTCAATTATTACCTGAACATAGACTGCAATCGGGCAGTAGAAGAAATTTCGTCATTAACTAATTCAACCACTGGCAATTGGCCCCTCCCTTATCCAGAGGACTTGCTTATCCCCAAGTTGGGAACTGATCTGTGGGAGGACATCCTACATGTCGGTACCACTGGCCTCATTGTCAAATTCCACAATTATAGGTATTTACAGACCACCAGAATAGCTATGGGTGTTTCCATGTCTCCTGATGTTGCTAACCTATACACAGCATGTGCTGACTTTACCTGTGGACACAACTGAGATGTTCTATTTTTATGTAGATTTATTGATGACATCTTTATGATCATCTGCACTGACTCTGCAGAAGAAGCTACATACTTAGCAACCCACACATGGTTCCTAAGAGGTTGTGAAGTTGACTGGGCCCTGGCCACTCAGCATTGCATTTTCCTAGATATGCAAGTCTGGTTGAATGACAAAAACTGGATCCAATGGAAGCCATACTGGAAGCCCAATAATCACCTTGAATGAATCCCCTGGGACTCAAGCCACCCCATTGATGTCAAATGAGGCACCTTCATCGGAGAATTGTCCCATCTGGCCATGTTGTCTAGTAACATTGAGTACTACTTAGACACCATTAAATTTCTATTGAACCTGTATATTTCACACAGGTACCTGGCTTGACTTGTAAAAACATGGGTTAAGAGGAACTGTACCAACCACTGGAATAAGCACTTTGCACCAAAGGGAGATCCCGAACCAGTGATCACACTCAAAACTCAGTTTAATGTAATGTGGGATGAGTTCAATATCCACGAACTTAAAAATTGAATAATGTTCCCAATTTACAATGTACATGACTTTTGGGTAAGTGGTGGTTTGGCATCATGTGACAAACCACTGCAACTCCCAACTCACCTACCAATTCTGTTTGAATGGCCTCTGTCAGCTGATCTCCTTTTTTTGGCCCCTGATTGGGTCTTGATCTACTGATGTGCCTTCTTTCTTGATGTGGATGGCCTTGAGGAGAAAGATGCCTGGCTTTTTGATCCAGGTGTGGCATTATTTGATAACACCAAATGGGTCATCTCTAGAAAATGAACATGTAATCTGGGCCACTTCATCATGTTGTGGAATAAAGAATGGCTGAACCTTATCACCAGAGTGTACAACCCTATGCCATCAGCACAGGAGTTATTACTGGAGCATGATTGGGTCCAGACCAAAAGAATTCAAAATCATACATGAGCTATGTGCAAGGTGGAGCTGATCCTGGAGGAGTGCAGTTTAAACTCTATGTCAGCCTTTGACAGTCTGGCTATTGACTTAGGGTTTATCGTAGCAGATCAGGAAACACATGATGTCCTTGAGGAATGGAGATATTCCTGGATAACTGCAGCAGAACCCTGAAGGAATGATCTGGTTTCACCACCAATTTCAAAATCAAACCTTTTTATGACAACCTGTGGGAGTCACAGGGACAGCAATCAAAGGCTATTTGTGAGCCTTATTTCCTATTGGATGATTGTTAACTGCCCTCTTGCACATGATAGTGTATCCTATATTAAGTTATAGCAATGACATCACCAATGATGCAATCATTGATAAGCACTAAGCCTGCCCTAAAGTCATTGGGTGTATTTATAGGCTTGGACAGTCCACTGAAGAGCTGCATTACAGTGAAATTCCTTGGTGTCCAGAGCCTGGACACAAAAATTTGGGCTTTCCATACTGCAGCATACATTTTTTATTTTTTCTACTCTGGCACATCCTCCTAAGTTACCTTTGCATACCAGCACAATGCCCCATGACAACCTCAGAGGCTCATCTGGGACATTCTGCCCTCTGCAGATGGTGTTGCAAAGGTGACCAACACTATGTTTTATGTGGGGGACTTTGAGATATTGGCTTGTCACACAAGTGTTCAAAAACCATTTACTTCTTCCTTCATACAGTACAAATTGCTTGAGGTATAGACATAAATTGATTGAATTTATTATTGCAATTTTCATGGAAAATGTGGAGGCCCAGGTGGGTCATTCCCCTGGTGACTAGTGAGATGTCCCAATACAGCAGGATCAACATTGCAAAGATGTACATGAAAAGTACTATTGTATACTACTATGCATGGTGGGATGGGAGGGGATGTATAGGTTGAAGGATACTTTGTGGATTAAACCTGTCAGAGGAGCAAGGGGGCTAGGATATCTGCAGCTATTTTAATGCTAATATAAGCTACACTTTCAGGAGGAGGGACCCCTGCCATCCAAGGCAGTCTTGGGACATCCCAAATAATTGCATTTGAATGGATGGATATGTGGGAAATCCCATCTGTCCCAGGGCCTAAAAATCTGCATAGCCCTGGGACATGACCAGATGTCCCTGGGCAGACCTTGGTCTGGGAGGCTATTAGGCTGGATGGTTTGGAGAAACTATTCAGCCTAAATGCTTATGAAAAATGGTTACCTGAAGTGGTCAGGATCACCATCAGGAGCATTAGGGTCAGGGTCAGGTCCATCATCTCAGTTACAAGGAGATGGAGTATGAAAGGTTGTTGGGTGGAGGTCAGAGCAACCAGCTTGTGAAGTGCTTTTGCCTTCAGTATGAGAGCAGCATCGAGCAGAGAAGGATTGGAATTGTTTGATGACCAAAGGAAGACCACACAGATTAGCTAGCACTGCAGTGAGGTTCTCAGTGACATCTCTTTGGAATTGAGCTCAAGTTCTCATAATGGCATAAGTTTTTTGGAAGACAGAAAATGAGACCATACAGGCCTACTCTGACCAACTCCAACACTAGATAGAGTCTGGGGAGGGTTCAGAAGCAAGTCTGACACAGAAGAATAGAACTCTGACTGGCAGAAGGTTGGCAGGGACAAAGTCTGCCAAGACAGAGGCAGAGTGGAGTGAGGGCAATGGGTTTAGCTCATGTGCTACCCCCTTGCATGAATCCTAGCCCTTGTATTTCAGAGGGAGAGAACAGATGGATAGTCAGAGGTAACTCCAACAGACAGAAGACAGAAACAGAGGGAGTAGGAAACTAAATTGATATTTGTACTGAAGAACAGTGGAGTATGGTACATGCTTTTATACTACCATGGAGGTACAGTAATCAGAATCAGAACTGACATACAGAGACTCATAAAATTTCAAGTAAAACTTCCTAGACAATGAATGAAGAGAAGATGTGGGACAAAGGCCTGATCAAGTGCATGAAGTTTGTAGCAGAAGTTGAGTTCATAGAGTTCCCATAGAAGGGAACATGTGAAATGAAGGGGTGGGTCTGAAAGGCTTGAAGCCTGGACCTGCACAAGATAAGTATGAAGAACAGACTGCCAACTTTGTGGATGCACTCTGGGTGCCAGAGGGCAAGCACTCTGTGTCAGTACCATTGAGGAAGTCCCTCCACATCTGAGGGGAAGGGTTCTTCTGCAGAGACCAAATGTCAACTCAATTCATCCAAGCAGGACAAGCAGAGAGCCAATTCAACATGTACATCTTCTTTTGCTCAGGGGTGGTCACATTGACCAACAGTGTGGGCTTCGGAAAGTGATAACCAGGGTCCACAATACCTGACTTGACTCTGGACATATCCTTTGGAGCTTTCCTCCAACCCAATGCAAACAGACTGTGGGGCTTGGGAATTTCTGGAAGATAAGGTTCTTCCCACCTTGCCAGGTCCCCACCACCTGATTGTTTTGGGTGCAAAGCTACAAGTTGGTTGGGAACAAGTAGAAAGAAAATGTTAAGTCTGGTTTGTCACTGGTCCAAAGCCAGTCCAGAGTCTGGTTGGGGGTCAGGGGGTA